GAGAGAGAGAGAGAGAGAGAGAGAGAGAGAGAGAGAGAGAGAGAGAGAGAGAGAGAGAGAGAGAGAGAGAGAGAGAGAGAGAGAGAGAGATCTGAGGTTACAAGCACACGACATACATACAACATCGGTGATCACATAAGCATACTCTGGAAACGAAGACACACGGCATACATACAACATAGCTTGATCACAAACATACTCCGAAAACACAGCAAGGAATTCAGCAGGCAGGCAACTGTGGAATTCTCAGCAAGCATATCAACGGGACACATTTTCTCAGCGAAGTGTTCTCAGACTGCAACTGTGAGAGTCGTTGCACACAGCACGAAAAACAGAAAAAAAAAAAGAACAGATGCCGAGAAGATGGCGACTTCCCACGGATAAGTGGGAACAACAGGTTAACTGAGGTCAAACAAAAGGTAAACTAACTACCGTAGAAAAAAAAGGGGACAAAAAAGTGGTTTGAGCACAACACTGCGTGTCCACTTCTGCCTTTTGGAATTTGCTGCTGCTTTTTTTTGTTCCCGAGCAAAACAACAATTCTTTTACGCATGACAAACTGCCATGAATGTGCCTCTTGTTTTTGCGAGTGAAGCCGCAACAGGCCTTCTAGTGGTGATGAGGTCGACACATTCTTCCGCGTCATGCGGTTCATGCATCAGCACAGCTACTCGATCACCCATTTCTTTTTACAGCCCATCCTCGTCTATCCCACCCACTCCCCTAACTCCTTTGTTGGCTATGCAGCAAACTCCGCACGATCAGATGAATAGGATATAATATAAGAAATAGCTTTGAAAAAAATGGAGTTTAATGGACAGAAAAAAGTTACAATATTTAGACAATCACCTCTCTGCTATCATGTGCCTCACATTTCTCCACATCAACTTATTGCTCTGTTCTCTCTGTCGACCTTCTAGTTCACCCGAGGCCGTCATTTTCGCTCGGAAATCCAAAGCACTTTTCAGCAGATCTTCGATACCTTCTCGTGTCCTGGTACTGGCTGCGATAACCTGCACATCCCACCAAACAGAGCTCAGGAAAATATATGTAGCCCCCTAAAAAAAACAATGGCCCCACAGTTTCGGCGAGCTCATTACCAAATGTTTGTGGAGATGGAAGGGGAGGGTTAAGCCACCAGCACAGGGCGCAAGCGTTGCAGTTGACGCAAATCATGCGCCTCGAGAAAAGCGGTGCTGTCCCCAGTCGAGCTCAGATGTACAGCAGGAGGTGCCCAGCAGTTGACTGAAGGCTGAACAGAAGCAGCAGAAGGGACCAAGGGTAGAGTCACAAAGGGTGGAAGAAGGGTTAGCAGGGGTAGCCATGGCAGAATAGGAGGAAGGGGTGGAAGAAGAGTTAAAAACAGTGGAAGGGACCATAAGTTCGAGTTAACCTGGAAGCAGCGGAGGAAAGGGAAGAACCAGTAGACAGGGTAGAATCATAGAATGAAGGTAGAGAGTGGGGGGAGGGAGAGTCAGGAAAGAAGGGGTAGGAGTAGAAAGGGTGCAAGAGGAGGTAGAAGCAGTGGAAGGAACGAGGAGTTGACTGAACCTTGAAGCGGTGGAAGAAGGCGAAGAAACAGTGACAGTCGAAGGGAGGTAGAGAGTGGGTGTAGCATGCTGAGGCTGCTACACGGGCCCTGTTTTGGGGCCCAATGGTTGTTCCAGGCCCCTAGGCCGCGCACCCATTTTCGGTGAGCGACCTGGAGGCCCACGTCCATATTCCAGGCCAGGCCCCCCGCATTTATTATTTTTGCTGCGTGATTCAGTTTCAGCCCTTGGAGGCCAGGTTCAGATTTGTCCGTATGTGGGACTGGACCAGGCATTTGTCTGTTTGTGCCTGGCCTCACAAGCGGTTAACAGGGACCCCCACTCCCACTTTTCAGCCCTGGTAACCCTTTCAACCCTGAAAAGTGCATCGGAGATCATTTTTTTTAATTTTTTCTGATTTTTTTTGTTTGCCCTGTTATATTTTTGGTCGAGGTCTGTGTGTGTCAAGTTTGGTGTTTGTTGGGGTCTTGGAGTTGACTGTTTTGGCTAGCCCTGAAAATCCTGAAAATCCTGAAAACTGAAATGAGCGAATTTTGCATAAAAACACATTTTTGCCTTTCTGTTTTACAGCTTTTTTTTTTTTTTTTTTGTAGTTAGTATGATCTCCACTCTATGAATTGGTAGCAAGTTTGGTTAAACTGACCCTTGGGTTTTGTTATAAATAGCCTGACAAGTGGTCTGAAAATTGAGGCCTCCGTTAACCTGCTCTCGCCTGGCCCAGTCCTCAGGACCCTGCCGCATCAGCAAGATTGCCTGGACGTCCGGTAGGGACCCAGGCAGGCCGTTTTTGGCCAGGATCGTAGGACCAGGACTGGGGCCTGCGATCAGGACCATCGATCGGACATCATATCCGACGGTCCTGATCACAGACCGAGGACTGCTCAGCAGCCAGGCCCAGCGGTATCTAGCTGGGCCAGTCCTTCACTTTGAGGACATTCGGGCTGGAGCCTCCTTTGCGCATCATGCTGCTGGAGCAGCGCCAGTTTGGGGAGAGCTGCTATAGAGCAGTGCTGGAGGATTAGAGGAGTAGGCTGGAGTGGAGAGGTTTGGTGGAGGCCATGTCCACGAGGGAGAGAGACTTACCTGGGCAACATAGCTGGGAGACCGCGTGAGAGAGGAGAATTTCTTCTTCTTCTTCTCCTTCTCCTGATTTTTCTCCACTCCTCCATAGCCACTGTTCTTCTTCTCCTCCTCCTCCTCCCTCTTTTCTTCTTCCTCCTCAGAGAGAGAGAGAGAGAGAGAGAGATTTCAGGCAGTGACTATTTCGGGGAGTGGAGCCCAGGATCTGATCCGACATTTCTGAGGACAGACATTGGTCGGACATTTGACAGGGAGACTTTCTTGGACGACTACGAGTTCTACTCTTGTCCTAATTCCCCTCTCCATCTCCGTCTCTCCTCCCCCTTCATCATCCGTGGTTTCTCCCCATGTATGTGCGCAAGGAGGGATGTTTCTTCTGTGTATGATTTCCCTCCTTCCTGTGTGACGTGTGTGATGATGATTGTGTGAGTCCATTCTGGATCTGATGTGTCAGGTCATATCTTTGAGTCTTCCGCTGCGCTACATTGCATTATCTCGTTTTGTTTCAACTCCTGTTCATCACACTGGCGCTCCTTGGACATGTGCACCGCTCATCTTCAGATGAGCATGCATCATTGGGGAAGAGAAGGGGTAGCATGGGTAATTGGGGCAGAAGAAGAGGTAGAAGCAGAGTGGAAGGGGCCAGGACTTGACCGGAACTTGAAGTGGGAGAAGAAGGAGGAGTAGACAGGGTAGAAAGGAGGTAGAAAGTGGGGAGGGAGGGAGGAAGAAAGGGTAGCAGGGTTAGGCTGTGCGGAAGAAGAGGAGGTAGATGCAGACAGAGTGGAAGAGGAGGTAGATGCAGACAGTGCAGAAGAGGAGGTAGATGCAGACAGTGCAGAAGAGGAGGTAGATGCAGTAGAAAGGACCACGTTGACTGAAACTTGGAGTAGCAGAAGAGAGGGAAGAAGCAGTGCACAGAATAGAAGGGAGGTAGCGACTTTGGGGGAGGAGCAGCAGGGAAGGGGAGAGGGGAGGGGAGGGAAGAGGAGGGGAGGGGAGGGGAGGGGAGGGGTGGGGTGATTAAGGTCTACAAAGACTAACAAAGGAGGTGATGGTACTACCTGATGGTGCCATAGCCAAAGCTCCCAGTTCAAGTTAGATTGAGGAATAGTGACCTACACGACATCAACAGCTCATGGTGCCACCTTTCACTGCCCCGTTCTTTTATCCACAGACAGAGTGCTGCCCTCCTAGACAGAGATCAGATTCCTTGAATTGCTAGAGGCGATTTGTAGGAGAAGGCGGTTGTTCAAGAACAGTGGGATATTGATTTATTACCGTAGGCATCGTCTTTCGTTCTTCTTCTTCCTCGCCCTCCCCTCTTTGTGTGTGTATTCCGAGCACGGAGTATTTCTCCCATGCACGTTTCCCTCTCCTCTGTGTGTGAGTCGACTCTCTGTTCAAATTGTCCTCCGGGTAAGTTGTGCCTATATCCCAGTGATCTGTGCAGGACTCTCCTATCTCTAAAGCACAGATACTACGTGAAGCTTCCAGAAGATTTGAACTACTGACTTTACAATTATCAGGCGTATACTCTAACCGAGTTATAGGCCCATGCTCGGAAAGACTTGAACTCTCAACCCCCGAATCCGTAGGTTGGTGCTCTATCCAATCGAGCCACAAAGGGCCAGGTCAGGCGGGTCACACTACTGAAGCCTGTCAGATAATCGCAGCATAATTTGTGGGACACTCCCACAAAGCGTAGATGCTATTTGAAGCATACTTTGTGTGTGCTATGAAATAAGCTTATCAGATTTTGCAGTCAGTGTGCGACACTCCCTATTTCTAAAGCACAGATACTATGTCACCCATGCGTCTATATTCACATAAATAAAAATCACAAGAACGTGTATAGAACATGTATGGAACGTGTATAAAACTAAAAAAGTGTATAGAACGTGTATAGAACAAGTACAGAACATGTATAGAACATGTATATACTCTCAGAAGAGCACATACAAGGGAGGTGAAAGTCGAGGGCATACGAGGGAGGCAAAAGCCGCACGCGCATATGGTTTCAAAGCCGAGATGTGCCAGAAGAAGCGTCAGAGAGAATCCTTGCTTGGGTGAAGGAGATGCAGGTCGGTGAGAAAAATACACCACCAAAAAAAAAAAAAACTCAGAGAGAGGAAACCCCAAGAACTTATTTATAATTGCGCTACATTGGCAGCTGAAAGATCCCTCAGAACTTCCAGCTCGTCTCCTCAGCGGATCTTGAATTGCTTGGATGATAGACTCCAATGCTCCGGAAGAACAAGTGTGCCACAGACGGAACACACAAGAGGACGGAGGGGGGGGGGGGGGGGGGAGACGGTGGGGAGGTACATACATAAGAAGCCCGATACAGCAGCAGCCAGCTGGAAGTGCCAAATTAATTCACAATTCAATTTTTGCCGTGAGAATCTTCAACAATACGATTAACAATCACAACTACGAAACTTTTACGGCACGTTCTACAACTTGAATATGATCGATTGGCCGTCGATGGCAATCGAGCATACAGGCATCGATGGTCACAAGGCAAGGCAGTTCACTCTTTCTTTTTATCGAAGAAAATTAATTGAGTCTTACCGGAGGAACCCATGTGTCTGAGGATGGCCTTAAGAAATGTAACGCTCTTTTGTACTCCCGAACAGTTGCAAGGGCCGCTTTTGCAGTTTCACCATCTGCTTTGTTCACAACCAGTAGATCTGCCACCTCCACTATCCCTGCAGAACAATGGATTCAAAGCATCTTAAAAACTTGCCGCAAAACTTCTAGAAGTATGTATAAATGAATCAATTACAGGACAGTGCTTCGTACAAACGGTACTTCGATTGATTGATCGATTGATCGGTTGGTTGGTTATACATTAAGAATATACATTGTATGAATCATATATATTTAGAATTAAAAAATCAATAAATCAAATATTGTATACATTGAAACGTTATTCACCAATTCGTGGTAGCTGAGGTAGATCCCAGGGCTCGATCCCTAGTTCCCCAACTTACCTGTGTACAAT